ATCGTCGGAGTGCTAACGAAGTAGTGAAGGGCGCAGTCGAGCTCCGCCATGTGCTTTGCTTTGGGTTTCTTGAGGTAGGTGGCGAGCTGGCTTGCGGAGTATGATAGATCCGGACGGCAGGTGACAGCTGCGAAGAGGAGGCAGCCCAGCTTTCTCTGGTAGTCGCGTAGACCGGCGGGATTTAGCGGAGCGGATCCTTCCTTGTGATTTCCTGCCGTGTAGCGGTATGGTGTGGAGATGATAGTTGGCATGAGTGCGAAGCGTTTAGCGATGGTTTCGGCGTATTTCGCGGCGCTGAGGTAGATCGCGTTCTCCTCTTCCTGGATGTTGAGGCCGAGGTATTGTGTGACGGTGGACAAAACCGTGAGCGTGAGATCCTTTTGCAGCTCCCCTTCGAACCAGGTAGTGACGCCGTCGGTCGAGCCGATGTAGAGCAGGTCGTCGACGTAGACGATAAGCAGAATGTAGTCGTCGCCTTTCGTGAGCCGGTACATGCCCTGGTTGTGTGGTAGCTGGTGGAATCCGATTCGGATCAGTCTAGCGTGCAGGTACTGTTGCCACAGTCTCAGGGCCTGCTTGATGCCGTACAGGGACTTTAGCAGTTGACAGACGTGGTTGGGCTCTCCGTTTGAGCCGTGCGGTAGTTCGACGAAGATCCATGCGTCGACAGGTGCGTAAAGAAAGGCGTTGGCGACGTCGATTTGCCGTAGCTTCTTCTTCTTCATGGCGGCGATCGCGAGGAGAATGCGTAGTGAGGTGTGTCGGCTGACCGGAGCGAACGTTTCAGTGAAGTCGCGTCCGTGTTCTTGATCGAAGCCACGTACGACCCAGCGTGCTTTGAACTTGTCGATGGTGCCATCTGCCTTTGTCTTTACGCGGAAGACCCATTTCCCGGTGAGTATTGTCTTGTTTTGTGCCACGCTGACGGGAATAACTTTCCAAGTGTTGCGTTCCTCCAGTGCTTTCAGCTCCCTGTCCATGGCTTCGCGCCATTTTTCCCTATGCTCCCCCCCCAGAGCCTGCTGAACTGTGGCAGGCTCCTTAGGAATCGCCGTGCCGTGAACCGCGGTGACGAGGCCGAGTATCTGGAGTCCACTCTGTGTGTAGCGGGGGAGTGTTGTATCCTCGGGATAGACTGCTTCATCTCCCGCTTCTGGTGTAGGATTGAAATTTGGTCCTACTCGTTCTGCTTCGTCGGTGTTGACTTGTGCAGGTGTAACGTAACCATTGTCGGCGAAGTGGGAGTAGACTTCGGCGTTGACGCTTTCGCGAGGGTTTTCGTTGTCGTCCATCGGGACATGAACGGAGCAGTAGGGAAGAGGTCCAGCTTCCTCCGAGGCTCCTTCCACGTTTTGCTCGTCCCAGTCAGCTTCATCTTCTGCCGAAGCGAAGGCTCGGGACCCAGGAAATCCGCCCAAGAGGTCAGGTCTGTTTTCTTCCACGTAGGTAAGGTGGGTTCGGAGGGTGAGGTTCTCGTAGAAGACGACCTCACGTGCTGCTACTGTTTCCTTGGTGTGGATGTCGAAATCTTCCATGCGTTGTAGTGTTTTTCGATGCCCAGGTGTAGTCCCCATTGTGCTCGTTGGGAGAATCGGCCGGCTCGTGCGGATGGAGGTCGATACTGTACCAGGCAGCCGAAAACTCTCAACATTTTTGTGCTGCCCAGTTTTCCTGTCCACAGCAGATGCGGTGATGCGTTGTTCGGGAGCGATGATGACGAGAGCAAGTTGTGCAGCATCACGGCGTGGTCCATTGCTTCGGGCCACTGGTGGTTGGGTAGGTGCATGCCACGTAGTAGTTTGCGCATGGTGTTCTGGAGGGTCCTGTTCATCCTTTCTGCTACACCCTGCTGTTGATGGGCGTAGGGAAGGGAGATGAGCCTCTTGATTCCTCTTTCTGCCAGGTATGCTTGAACCTCTGTGACGCATATTCTCCTCCTCCGTCTGACTGGAAGCTTTTCAGTTTCACTCCGGATTCCCGTTCTGCTACTGGAAGCCAGGCGACGAAAGCTTCGAAGGCCATGTCGCGGCTTGGAAGATTCAGGTGCCAGACGTATCGTGTGGCAGCGTCGATGAATGTGATGGTATAGTTGTACGCGTTTTGTCCAGGCTCGCGGTTTATACAGGATGTCACTGTACACTTTCTCGAGTGGTGCGTAAGCTGGTGCACTGGGTTGTGGTGAGAGACGAAAGGCTGATGCGGTAAGTCGGCTTCAGGACAGGTGAAGCATGTTCCGCGGACTCACCGGAGTTCTCTGCCATCAGTTAGAAGTAGGGAATCTTTGTCGAGTACGCCTGCTCTTATCGTGTTGTTTAACACCGTGTTGCTTGGATGCCCCATTCTCGCGTGCCAGGTTCCTTCAGTGGCGCGATGTCCGGGTGAGCGCCGATACATGTCGGAGTTGGAATAGAAGCTGGCGGTGAAGTTGGCGCTTCGATGAACTTCTCGTCGAGTCGGATTCAGCTGCTGCGCGGGAGTCGGTGGTGTGTCGTCGATGAGGATCGGTGCCGTTGAAGGACCAGCGACTGGTGTTGATGTTGCCGCTACTGCCGTCGTTGTTTCTGCTGCTGCTGCTATTGCTTTTTGCTGCTGCCGATGTTGTCTCTGCTGCTGTCGATGTTGTCTCTGCTGCTGCCGAGGTTGTCTCTGCTGCTGCCGAATGTTGAATCGTCGCTAATGCTCTTGTTCGTTCTGCTTCAGGGATTGTGTGCAAATACCAGAAGCCTTCAGGACTGAAGTCACGATCGAGGTCCGGAGGATGTGTCCAGGAGGTGAAGGTGACGATCCCGTCGCTGTCTGCGGTGCCGAGATCTGGAACAAAATTGAGGACGAACACGTTGTTCTTTAGTACTGCCCTCCCGATGTAGAGTCATCCTCTCCTGTGGTACAGCTTGAATTCCTGAGTGGTACTGTTGGCTTCGAGATGAATGCCTTTCGCCATCAGTTGACTGACGCTCAGTTAGTTGTAGCCGAGTCCTTCTACTATCAAAACCTTCAACATCTGCAATATAACGTTTGTCTCTCGTGACTGAAGTTGAACCACACCTTGTCGTCGTGTACGCAGGTTCTGGTTGTTCGCGACAGTGATGACGACTTCACGTTGAAGTTGGTATTCCCGTTGGACGAAGCGACCTGAAGAGCACATATGCTGCCCGCAGCAACTGTCCAAGAACCACGTGTCCTTCCCGGATGGCTCGCTTTGGGCGATGGCTGCATACGTCGGGTTCGGTCGAAGTGACTCGCGGCGAGGCATACTGTTGTCGAGTTGTTCTTCCGGTGAGTAATGCGGTGGTGACTCGGTGATGCAGGAGTCGGTCAGTCTTGCCATGCAGCTGACGATGTTTCTTGTTCCTTGTGCAGGTTGTCCCGTTGGTGTTGTTGAGGCTTGTACTTGAGTGGTGGGGTTCGCTTGCGTTGAGGCGACTTGACTGCTCGAGGGTCGAAGCTGCTGCTGCTGCGTTGGTGTTGACTGCTGCCGGTTAGGGCAGTGTGTGTACGCGAATGTCCAGACGTCTTGCAGAGGTGACAAAACGGACGTACGGGTTGCTGTCCTTGGTACTTGTTCTGCGGTGATTGTTGTTGTAGCGCCGCTGAGTATGAAAAGCGAACTCAAGTACTTGTCAAACATATATGCTGCTTATTGTGTAGGCTGTAGTGGGGTAGCCCATATGGGGTACAACACAATTAGGGTTTCCTACTTGTACCCATCATGCTGCTAGTTCATTCATTCCTGCCTGTACTTTCTGACATGGTTTCAGAGCAGTAGGTCCGTAGGACCGTTTTTTTTCGGGCCCACCTACCGTTGTGGTTACTGAGCTGCCCCACGTGTTGCCTGCGCTGCGCCGCCCGTGCGCTCCTTTGTGTTGGGTGCAAATGCACATTGCACGACATCCTGCCGTCTGTTTGTACGAGTATGCGTGTGTGAATGCATTTGCGTGTGAATGGTGTGTTCGTGTGTTTGTTTGCTTTCGCATTTTTTGCTTGATGCATTTGCAGGTACTCGCGCAATGTGCACTTCGGCACAACATTGTACGCGCTATGAACAGTGCAAGCAGAAAGGACGAGCTCGCAAAGGAACCCAGGATGGAAGCTTTGCAGTTCGGTTGAGTTGATTGCGCAGATTCAGTTCTATCCAACTCGAAATTGTACTGTTTTGTTTGGTTAACTATAGTGTAGCAGGGAAGGCACTATAGGGGTACAATTTAGGTGAAGGTTGGATGTTGTTTGTCTGTATCTGCATGCTACAAGGCCAGGGGAAACCAGCGGAACCAGCATTTGGCTGGTTGGGCAAAGACAAAACAGGTTCTGTTTTTAGAACCTGAACCTGGTTGTTGTTTTCCCAGGTTGGAAAAACAGAACCAGAGGTTGTTTACCAACCTACCACCTGCTATTTTGTCCAGCCTGGTTGGTTCTGTTGCTTGGAATTATTTGGGATCATCCCTGGTTGTTCCCAGGTTGATTCCCAAGGTCCTTGCTAGCTAGAACTATTTAATTCTTCTCTGTTTGTACCTGAATATAGTAAAATTGATTCAAGCGAATTCCTTCCTCGCTGGAATTCCGTTTCTGCGCTATTCGACGGCGGAATGCTACCCGAGTCAACGCTAGTATGCTAGCACTCTAATGCTAGGCAAACACCGTCTGAGCCATAACTTCGTAATGGCAGAACTTTTCGCGAGGCAACTTGGCTCATTTAAAAGCTCTTGGAGCGAGCTTCGATATAGCGAATTCTCAGCTTAATCCGACCGACGGTCTGCACGGCACGCTGCGCGACGTTCAAGGTACTCTTGCTGTTTTGACTAAGTCCTTCTTGATCCCTCTCTCTACAAACTCGGACCAGAGGATAGGGGCTGGTCTTGTGCCAGGCACCCAGGGACCCTTGGAGGTGACCCGGAGGAGAGGTTTTAAGTTTGATTAAGTCCTAATAGCTTGAGTTTATTAGGCCCTTACACCAACAAGCTGGTATCAGAGCTGCGTTATAGTGATCCTCGTTATAGGTAGCTATGGCGGGCAACACCTCGGCGGGAGCTGGTGAATCTTCAGCCCAAGATCGTAGCGGCAGCCAAGATTCTGGTCTTTCAGCGCCAAGGGGAGCGCGAACAAACCAGGGCTCGCTTGTCAAGGAGGTGCTGAAGAATTTCACCGTCGAGAAGTTCAATGGTGAGGGCTATGATGATTGGGCCTGGAAAATGCAATTATATTTCCGTCAGATCGGTTTGCTGAAACTAATGATTGGGGAGGAGCCTAGACCGAGTGACCCCACGCTGCAGGAAGATTGGGACGAGCGCTCCTCGGCTGGCTACTATTTGATGTCGCAGAGTTTGGAGCTGAACCAGCGTCACCACGTCATGCACCTGCTGCCGGAGGTTGAATGCGGTCCGAAGGCGTGGACCGTGTTGAAGGAGCTGCACGCCCTGACCTCCGTTGTCGCAACGTTGATGCTGGAGAGGGAGCTGTCCGCGTTGCGCCTGAGCGAGGGAGAGCGGTGTGCAACCAGTCCTGGACAAGATGCGCGACCTCTACGCGAAGTTGGCGACCGCGGGAATCACCTACCCGGAGCAGACCAAGTGCTTGAAGATGCTCTCGCTGCTGCCAGAATCGTGGCTTCAATTTACGAGCGGATTGAGCCTGCCGCAGAACCAGAGCTTGTGGACGCTCGAGTGGGTGCGGACGAAGATTCTGGAGGAGGACTTCCGTCGCCGCAAAGAGGGGGGAGTGGAGACGACGGCAGCAGCGGCTACGGGATGCAAGGGAGCCGACGTGGCAGAGGACGTGGCTTCGGTGGTGCTGGACGCGGTGCAAAGAAAGACGACGACTCCAACGACCAACAGGAGGGGTACCGGTTTGGGTCGCGGTGCGAAATCTGGACGTGGGGGCAAGTCGGGTGCTGGTGGCAAAATGAAAGGGAGTTGCTGGTATTGTGAGAAGGAAGGGCACCCCTGGTTTTTGTGCTATAAGAAACCCGATGGATGGACCCCCCAGAATCGTCACCAGGATGGCGGCGCGCGGAGGAACCAGAAAAACGGCGCCAACATGGTCGCTGATTCGTCCGACAACAACCCGAAGGGCAACGGCGGTGCGGAGAAGAAGAAGGAGCGCACCGCGGGCCAATTCTTCCATGTGGGAGACAAGGGGGAGCAAGGAGACGCCTCTGCCAAAGTTGGAGCAGAGCTGCACCCCCTAGACTATTGGGTGTTGGACACAGGCGCTGCTTGGACGATGACGCCGCGCAAGGACCTGCTGGACGAAGTACGAGCTGCACCGATCAATGAAGTGTGCTCCGCCTCTGGACACATGTTGAAGGTGGCTGGTGCGGGACGAGCTGCGTTTAAGGGAGCGGATGGCAAGCTGGTGGTGCTGCACGACGTTCTCTTCGTCCCCGACCTGAAGGCCAACCTTATCTCCCTCCGTAAGCTTGGCAAGGCTGGGGTGAACACCAACACGGATGGGGCACGCACTTATAAGGGGCAGCTGGGCAATCGGGTGCTTTGGGATCTGCACGAGAGCAAGGACGTGTACAGATCTATGTGGCAGCTGCCGGCCCTGGCGTGGCATGGTGGGGGGCAGGCTGGAGAGGGGTCTGCATCCCAGGGGGAGTGCAATGCCGTTGGAGGGGTTGGTGTGAAAGTGTCGGCCAGATCTGGGGAGACAGATTGGGCAACGGCACACCGGCGCTTAGGGCATGTGGCAATGCCTTTGCTGAAGCAGCTGGAGAAGGATGGAGCCGTTAAGGGTCTGAAGCTGAACGGACAGCCACCCGATGACAACTGTGAAATCTGTTTGCTTTCAAAGTTCACCTGTTTCCCTTTCCATAGTGTGGCTGGCAGGAGCAAGAAGCCTTTGGAGCTGGTTCACATGGACTTGGTGGGGCCGCTGCCGGTGCAAGGGCACAAGGGGGAGCGGAGTTTATTTGGTATTTTTTTCTTACAATTGTGGATGACTGGAGCAGGCTGATGTGGGCGTATCCGCTGAAGCAGAAGGACCACGCCGCCTCCACGAGCACGGACGATTGGCTGCATTCGTGGCGGAGAAGCAGGCGGAGAGGCGGAGTGTGTAGTGAAGCGGATTAGGACGGACCGGGGTGGTGAGTTCCTTGGAGCTGAAATGACGGCCTGGCTCAAGAAGCAGGGCATCCAGAGAGAGCTGACCACGGCTTATACCCCACAGTCCAATGGTGTAGCAGAACGGGCAAACCGGACCATTCTGGAGACAGCTAGGGCGCTGCTCATAGAATCTGGGCTGAGCAATTCTATGTGGCCTCATGCTGTCCGGCACGCCACTGTCGCTAGGAACAGGGTGCTCACCAAGGTTGGGGATGACTCGTGGGTGCCGTTGGAGAGGTGGCTTGGGAGGAAGCCGCCGGTGGACATGCTGAGGGTGTTCGGTTGCATGGCAGTCGCCCACGTCCCCAAGACCTACCGCAGTAAGTTGGGGGCGAGTGCAATCTGGTGTGTGCATTTGGGGCTGGCTGCTGAGAGCAAGGGATGGCTGCTGTGGGAACCATCCAAGGGTGTGTTGTTTGACAGCAGGGATGTGAAATTTATTGAGGGCATGATGTACGGGAGCTGGGAGAAACAGCCGGAGGCAAGGGTGTCCCAGCAGATGGAGCAGATCACCATGCAGCTGGACCTGACTCCTAGTGTGTGGGAGGAGGGAGAGGAGGCAGCTGCTGGAAATGGTGATGGAGAGAAGGTACAGGAGGCATCTGCTGGTGGAGAAAATGGTGTGTGGAACTGGCGGCAACACTAGTGGAGCTGCTGGACCCGAAGGAGGAGAGAAGCAGCAGGGAAAAACTAAGAAGCCGAAGGGTGTCGTTATGAAGGGATGGGAGACACCCGTCTCCAGGCCAGGACGTACCCGTATGGCTACTAAGAAGCTGACTGCAGGAACTGATGCAGCAGAGCAGCAGCTAGGGACCGAAGAGGCATTGCTGATTCTACCTCATGGCTATGACCCGGATGAGGAGGATGAGCCTGCGTACTGTTTTCTTGCCCCTGCACCAGAGGAACCAGCTAGCATGGAAGAGGCATTAGCTGGACCAGATAGGGACAAGTGGCTGGCTTCTAGGGATGCTGAGTACCAGAGTCTGCTGGAGAATAGGACATGGGATCTGGTGGTGCTGCCTGATGGGAAGAAAGCGATACAATGCAAGTGGGTGCTGAGGATCAAGACCGATGACAAGGGACAGGTCACCATCTACAAGAGTAGGCTGGTGGCGAAGGGGTTTATGCAGAAGGAGAAGCAGGACTTCAACGAAATCTTTGCTCCCACTGCCAAACCCCCTACCCTCCGTGTCTTGTTGGCAGATGCAGCTGTTAGTGGAAAATTCATCATTCAGATGGATATTTCAACGGCATTCCTGAATGGGATTTTAGAGGAGGATGTGTACATGACGCAGCCGCCTGGGTATGAGGATGGTACGGGCAGGGTGTGCAAGCTCAACAAGTCCATCTACGGCTTGAAGCAGGCGCCACGCTGCTGGTACCAGAATTTGGCAGCTGTTTAGAGGAGATGGGATTCAGGACCAGCAGCTGTGATGAGAGCCTCTTTCTCAAGGGCGAGGGGGAGAAGCTGGTGCTGTTTCTGGTCTATGTGGACGACATTCTTCTCTTCAGCAGCAGCATGAAGGAGATCCAGAAAGTGCAGCAGCAACTGATGGAAAACTTCAAGTGCAAGAACCTTGGGAGGTAAGTACTACCTCGGGATGCACGGCGAGAGGGATCCAGATCACAGGTGGTTGAAGCTGCACCAGGAAAAGTTCATCAAGGAGCTGGGGGAGAAGTATGGGATTGAGAATGAGCGCAAGGTAACAACTCCCCTGCCAGCAGAATTCAAGCTTGTGAAGGCTGCAGAGGATGAAGGGGTTGAAGCTGAAGAGCAGCAGCAATTTCAGTCCTTGGTGGGCAGCCTCTTGTACGCAGCAGTTCACACGAGGCCCGACATCTCTTTCTCGGTTGGGCAGCTGGCTAGGGTGGTGCAGAATCCATCAGAGGAGCAGGTGGATGCAGCTGAGCGTGTGGT